ACGGAGAGACTCCTTAGACGGAGAGACTCCTAGACGGAGAGACTTCCTAGACGGAGAGACTTCCTAGACGGAGAGACTTCCTAGACGGAGAGACTCCCTAGACAGAGAGACTCCTTAGGCAGGACAACACTTAGAGGAGAGACTCCGCTTGCCTCAGGGGACCTGCCGCGTGCGACTGTGCTGCCGCCCATGGCCTGCATGCTTGCTCACGGTGCACACGGCAGGGAGTCCTGTCCGTACGCACTCTGACACTACCCGTGCCACCACGCGGCGTCCCGTGGGTCAACCGTTAGGCAGGCATGTCCCGGGAGCACACCTGCTCGGGATCTTGAAGGTCCTGCTCAGCACCGCGTGCGCACTCTTCCTCACATCAAGAAACACCGTCCAGTTGTGAGTGACCTGCAGAAGTGAAGCGCAAACCGTGGTCAGGCTTTCCCGAGCGTGGCCTGGACCCGTGCTGCTCAGTGCGCTGCTTGTCCGGGACGGGAGGGAGAGAGCGGGATAGAGAAGCATGTGACACACGGGGCTGCAGATGCGGAGCTCAGGCCTGGGCAGGGCGTGGAACTGGAGAGTCCCCCACCTCAGAGACAGAAAGAGAGAGAGAAAGTGAGAAAGCGAGCTGCCAGGTCTGGGACTTGAACCACAGTTAACCATGGGGGAGTCCAGTGCTTTAACCACCATGCCACCTGCTAGACTTCCAGTGGGAGGACACGAGCCTTGCCTAAATCCCAAACACCTGTAGGCAGGAGCTCTGAACCTGGGCAAAGCAGAGCAGCACTGCAGGGAGGGAGCCCTCCGGAGAGCTGCACTGTGAGAAGGGCACACCTGCAGCCCTCCTGTGCCGTGCGTCTGCTGCTGGGTGCGTGTGCAGACATCGGCGTGTTGGCACGCTTCGAGAGCAGGGAAGCTAAGACCACTCCTGCATTTGAGTCCAAATTGCACGAGCTGAGGGCCGGCAGGTGGCGTGGTGGTGAAAGGCGCTGGATTCCCACGTGGCCAACCATGGTTCGAATCCTGGACCTGGCAGCTTGCTTTCCCACTTCCCCTTTCTCTCTCCCTCTCTCTGTCTCTGGTCAAATTAAATAATAATAATAATAATAACAAATGGAATTAAGTAAATAAATAATTCTTTAAAAAAAAATATTGCACATGCTGAGAAGGCAGCGAGACAGCAGGGGGCGCAAGGCCCACCTCCTCCATGCAAGATGCGGGGACACAGGAGGGGCGGGATCCACCTCACCCCAGCACAAGGAGCTCTTGGCCGGGGGACTGTGCACCTCCCACAGGCATTGTCCAGGACCCCCCTGCGCGGCACACCATGTGTGCACGGGCACACGGCGGGACCTGATGCTCCATCAGGAGATGTAGCCACAGCAGGGCCAGTTCCGCTGTTAGAACAGGGACATTCACAGGCCAGGGAGACGACTCGCCGTGCCCGCGCACACGCCACCTTCGCAGGCTACGGGCCAAGGGCTTCGGCCGGAGACGAATCTGTGTGCACACTCGGGGACATACGTGCCACCAAGGTCACTGGTACGGGGTGACTGATGCTGAGGGTCTTCCACGCGGGGAGAGGCCAACCAGAGTGGAGAGCTGCTTTGGAGTCTGAGATAGAGCCCGTGGTCTGACTGCACTGAGATGGCAGGATTATAAGTGACCAGCGGAAAGTGAGGGAGGGGACTTCAACGGAGAGGCCGAGACGAGCTAGGGCCGGGCCGGCAGCCGGCAGCCCTGCCGAGGCCGCTCAGGAGGAAATGCAGTCCGGAGCAGTGAGGCCTTGTGGCTCCTTCCAACGACGGGTAAGAGAGAAGCGCACCTGCGGTGGCCGCCGTCTGGAGCCCGGAACGTCTGCCTGGGTCACCTCCACCACCACGAGCTCTTCTCTCCCAGGGCGGCCCGACCCACTGGCCACCAGCGCCCCCGCCAGGTCCACCTGGAGCAGCGTGGCATCCGCGTGGCTGCTGAGGTTCACAGCTGTGAGCAAGTCAAGGTGGGCCCAGACAAGGAGGAAGGAGGAGAGGCGGCCCGCAGCCGCCCGCTCGCCCTCCCGAAGTGCACAGCGAGTGCGCCTCCTGGCGCGTCCCCCACGGCCCTCGTCCCTGACCATCCTCATCCTCTCGGCCCCTCCCACCCCACACACAAAGCGCTTTCCTGACAGTTTATCGCATTTGGCATCCTCTGGCTGGAGGTGTAAGTGCAGTCTGTCCCCCTCCGGACTGTCATGTCTGCGTCCACGTTCTGTAGCCGTCATAGAACCCTACTGCCGTCCCGGGGCCACGCACGCTGACCCTCACTCCCCAAGAGCCCAGGTGTCAGGCCCTGTCCACAAGGCGGCACCTTACAAAATTAATCAAAAACATGAAATCTGAAAGTGACTACATCGCCGATGTCCATCCCAGCGAGGACAGGGGTTCTGCAAACACGCTGGAGGGCAGTCAGGAAAGGGCCGCAGGGACAGGCCCCTGTGCTCCAAGCCCAGGCCCAGAGCACAGCCCGAGCCCGATGCTCTGCCGTGCTGGAAGCCAGCGGGACACTGGGCTGGGTTCCTGGTCAGCCTGCACCTCCCCAGTCCTGCCTGGCTGAGGTCGGGCACGTCACAGCATGCAGACTGCAGGGGGGCCTCTCAGGAAGGGGAGAAGGAGGGGAGCAGGAGGGAGAGACGCCTGGCTCATGTGCCCACATGTGTGTGCCGTGCAAACGTGCTCAGCTCCTCAGACCGGCTAGCCCGACAATGGATCCAGAAGCGAAAACCATCATCACACGTGGGAAAGTAAGTGTGGCCGCGGCTGGCGCTGCACACCAGGCCTCTGAGCCTTTCGGCAGGAGCTCGCTGGTTTGGGCCGATTCCACCAGCTCCCCGATTCTCCCTCAGACCCCTAAAAGCGACAGATTTATGATCCAGACTTGGGGCCCCCGTCCTGGAAGGCACAGCCTGCGTCCACTCGGGGCATGAGGGAGTCTGAAGGACCGCCTTGCCGAGTGACTGAGTGTCCCGCCTGACGGCCCGGCTTACACCCTTCGGTCCTGTCACGTCTGAGGAGGTTGAAGGGGCTCGTGGAGGACTGGCCACTGACCTGGCGGCCCGGGGATCCAGATCCCGCACAGCTGCCCGATCAGCGTGAATCCTGGTCCCACCAGCCTGAAACACAGGGTGCTCGTGTACACGGGGCCAAACCCCAGCAGGGAGGAGGTGCCCCATTGGGAGGGCTTCCCCTCCCCCACCTCTCTCTCTCTCCGTCTCTGTCTCTCTCTCTCGGGCAACCGCATGCACTCTCTGTCCAAAAAAAGTTCATAGAAAATGAGTATTATGAAAAAGCTCTGCGTGGCAGAGGGACGGGGGGCACCACACCCAGGGCACCTCTGGGGCTCACCTGAAGGCTGTGGGTGCAGGCAGTGCAGGCGTGTGGAGAGAGGCTGGGCGGGTGGAGGTTCCAGAGAGGACACAGGGGCCTCCCCAGGGGGTTGAAGAAGACAACAGGCTGCAGAATAATGGCTTTCCCAACGTTTCTGTCACCAAGATTATCAACTAACAACACCAAACAAAGACGACCTGCCATTTACCTCATTTCCTTTTGAAAGAAAAACTCAGAGGCCAGCACAGTGGTGAGGGACACTCTGTGGTGCTGGCCACAGGAAGGTCCCAGGTTCAGGTCCCGCAGTCTCCCTGTCCATGCCAGCAGGTGCCTGTGACCCAGGATGGCTGAGACGGGGGTGGGTTATCGCATGGACTCAGTTAGGAGTGTCTGTCTGTCTGTCTCTCTCTAGAAATAAATAAGGTTTCAAAAAAAAAAAAGGAGCCAGCAGGATTTCTCAGTCTCTCTCAGTCTCTGTCTCTCTCTCTGCTGAGTGCATGTGCCCTATAGCAAACTTTTTTAAAAGAAGGGCGGGGTGGGGACTGAGCAAGCCTCACCGACAGCCGGTAGGAAACCCAGCACATCCGGTGTCTGGTACAACGTTACCATGGCAACCACAGCCTCCCAGAGCCAGCGTCTCCCTAGCTCGACACGACAGAAGTCAGGGTGTACTCCTCACGTGTGTGATGGCATGATGAAAGACGACCGACGTCGCTATCTGCTGTATGACACAACGATGTCTGCTTTTGAACCAAAAATCCCAAAGCGTGCAAAAGGCCAGAGAGAACAGCAAAGAAACAAAGCAGTCAGCGAAACCAGATGGCCTGGCCAAGGAGAGAACCAGGGTCCTCCGGGCGGAAGTGCCACAGGGAGTGTAGAGACAGCCGGCCTGCTGGCGGGCTTCGCCCCACGGCAGCCCTCACACTCTCCCCAACATGCCTGCTCCTTCCGTCCCGTGGCCTCGTCTCCCATCACACGCCCTAGAGCAACTGCACACGGTGGGCAGCCCTGGAGAAGTGTGCCCGCCCCTCATCTCAACCACGTGTTGGATACAGTAGCTTTCGGACGGAGACACGGCCAGCAGCTGCCACGACTTCCCCTGGTCTGGGTACAGGCTGAACAAGATCTGCAACAATCAGAAACACGTCAAGGTGGAGTAACCCACAGCAACCGGGGTGACACGCTTCGATAGCAGTGGAAATAGCACGCAACCATGGTGCCGGCGTGCGCCGTCCAAACTCCCGGCTTACTCGGAGTGCGGCTCTCTTTGATACTAAGACGGCCTGCTGCAGCCCCGCTCTCTCCAGCTGCAGCAGCCCTGGTTACGTTTGCCAGTAGCAATGACCAGATTCCCACCCCCAGCAGAGTGTCCGCGGTGGCCGGATGTGGCTTCTCACGTCAGAGAGGGAAGGGACATAACCCCTTTGATGGCAGCACTGATGGTGCTGCAAACACCTTACCCACCACCGAAAGTAAGTGGGGACCGGCAGATGGGGTAATGGTTACGTCGCTGGACCTCCGCACGGCCGACCGTGGGTCAAGTCCCGGATCCGGTAGCTTTAAACTCACACGTGTGCTCAATATCCCGAGAGGAGAATGGAGAAGGGACTGTGGCGTTGTCATCCTCCTTGGGGGTGACTTCTCACTTTCTGCCTCTCTATCTGTCTATCTCCCCAGTGAGTACACGTGCCCTATAGCAAAAATCTCTCTTGAAAATAAAAAGTAAGTTAATTATGATAAATCAGGGCTCACAGAACTTCACGTCAGACTCCTCAAGTTCTATTTTGGATCTGTCCACAAGTCAACAAAATCCCCCCTCCCTGAAGGAGGCTGGAGATGGCCACAGCTCCACTCAGCTCTCAGAAGGCCAGGCCAGACGGGCCCACTCTGACCGCCCCTTTGAAATCCGGGTGCCTCTGCAGGCCCTGCTGAGGGGGGCTTTGGAACCACGGCCATGTGGCTAGGTAGTGGCGAGGCAGAGGGGTCACAGGAACACAGAAGTATGGCATTTCCAGGGCTCACCTCCAGTTGGGTGTCTGCCAACGCGTGGCTGTGGTTGTCCCTGGTGGGACGCGCTCACCAGGGCTGTGCGACTCATCTGTGAGGGTCACAGATGCAACCTCACCTCGCAATGCCTTTCTCAGAATGTGGCTGAGCGTTTTTCTGCCCCTGGCCTCTGCTCTCCTGCCCTAGTCAGCCCTGACTCCGTGTCAGAGAGTGCCCGTGGCCACAGACGCACACATGACACCACGCATTTGCAGCCACGAGCAGTCATGCCCATGGCTGTCACTGCAGCTGCCTGCAAAAAGTGGCATACATAGGTGCCCGATCACGGTCACGGACCATGTGCCCCGCACACAGGGACCACATGCCCGCCTGCACACATGCAGACTCGCGGCAGCGTGGCTCAGGGCCAATGTCTGTGTGGTCTGTGGCTGAGGGACCCCAAGCCAGGTGCGGC